TTTCTAGGGCTTGGGACTACTTAGAACTATGTTTCGTTTGCATTGATGGCTTCGTTTCTTCAATGAATTTTTAAATTACAGAAATTTCAGAAGGATATATTTCATGAAAATCAACTAGGTCTCTCCTATGGCTTTCAATTCAATTCATCGGAAGAAGTCCTTTCTATAACTGATGGAGGAAAATAAAACTGTGATGCAAAAATATTCGGTGCGTTTCAAAATTCTATTAACTTTGTTTTCTGTTTGGTAAAATATTAAAGAAAAAAATCAGAAACTCAATAAAATCTTTGGAAATAGCTTGAATAACATAATGATTCTTTTCTTTTGGGTAATATTCAACAACGTCAAAATATTAACCTGGAATATTTATTATTCTAAACTCAACAGTTAAAATAACTGGAAAAAAATCATTGGTTGAACTGAGTGATATTTTAGCACGATAAAAATCTGACTCTAGGATAAAAGTGAAATTTACCTGATATCGAGAATATGTATCAGTGATTGTGTTCAGTCGTTTACACACGTTACGCATTGAACATAGAATTGTGCAATCACTGAGATTATACAAAATCCGATAAACAATTTCAACGGGTAGTGTCAAGAGAGACGAAGGAACTTGACGAGCCATAAATGATGCTTGCTTTCGAACAGTGTGTCGTTAAAATGAATGACTGATTGAAATTTTTTCATTTTATACCAACCTGTGTATTGACAATGTGTCACGATCTTTCATTATAGTTGTGCAATTTTTTGTTTAAACAGAGAACTGAAAAAAAAAGTACAGTGCGACAAATGCAGCAGCAAAACAAATTCGTTAAAATAACAATACACATAGAACTTTTTGCAGCAGCATTTCATGGGAGAGTTTCACGCATGTTCTTAAATACATTCCAGAGCTGGGTGTGGATGTGGGTGCGGGTTATCCCTTCCTTAACACTCTCACCTACACACTCACACCCGCACCCACACCCTCATTTTTCTGGAAATTAGCAAAGTCGCGGCGATTTTCACGACATAGAATATTATTTATTTTCGAACGTATTTATGAAGCTTCTTTTATATACTTTGCAAAAGTGAAGTAGTTTTCTGTTGATATTATCAATATCATCCTTTTTTATCTTCGAACCTCCTTTCAATATTTTCCTGGAAGTGTTTAACAATGTTGCCATTTTATGATTTTAAACGATCTGAATGTAGCTGATTTTGTTGTAACCTTTTCCTTCTTAATTTCAAATACAATTCAGTTTTAGACCGCACAGGATGATGATCAGCTCCTATACTTGATTTAAACTACTTGCTCACTCATGTATACTCTAGCATATGCCATTGCTTGTTGTCTGAATGCTTCCAAAACGTTTGATGAACTAATTTATCTTGGAAAAGTGTTTGAAATAACAAAGTCATTTGCTAGACAAAAATCAATTAATCTAATGTCATTTTCATTTTTAAAATTAACTGCATGAAGTTCAACAATTCGAGATACAGTTAAATGTTCTTATTTACCACCATGAGCATCAAAATCTTCTACCCAAACAATCATATCACCTTTTGACATGTTATCAATTGTATTCTATAATTGAAAATCAAATTGATCATATTTATCAATCATAAATTTGTTGTATGGATAAACAGAAGGATGTGGGTGTAGTTGAAAAGAAGATAAACTCTCATGCAGTATTCAAGCTCCTTTTTTGTTGCAGCTCTAAAGGACTAAGTTAAAAGTATAATTAATAACATCAACTGTATCGTGTTTCACATTTCAATTCCCTAGGGATTACGCTAATAGCTCTTTTCATTTAATAAAGAAAGATGTGAATATGAGTGTGAATGAAAATAATGTCTATGCACATATTCACACAATCTATCTGTTATGTAATGCAGATGAGCAGAGAAATTTCATGAAGATTCCAGTTTAAAAATGATGAAAGTGATTGAAAGTTTTCGTGTGTTTCTGTACAGAGAAAACATTTAGAGCTTTTGTACAATTATCTAATAATTCTTGATTAATTCATTAAGCTTTATAGATAAAATCGGTTTTTAGTTGTTTTAAGAGCAAGAATAACAAAACTCTACCATTGACAAGTTTTATTTGGAAGCTAAAAAGCAAAGGAAAATATCAAGCAGTTCAATTTAGTTTTTGATTCTACGACATAGAATGAGACGATATTTATATATTCAAGGAATGCTACTAATATATGCTTCTAGTGGAGGAACAATCTGAAGTTTACGACTGAGTCTTGCGCCCAAATCAGCTATTCCATCCATGACAGTAACGTTGAATACCGCTTGTGTTATCGTACTTTCAGGTTCGCCAAGAATTAGCATCAAGTTTTTCTGATTGTTAATATCTGTAATAGAAAACAGGATACCCGCCAACTTGTTTTGACTTTTTTCCAAGGCCATCTCTTGAAGTAACTCATCTTTACGATCTAGAAGGTAAGAAGGATACCATGTTTCAGCAACACCTATTCCCCATGTTTGGTCTTTGAAAATATATGTTTTGTAGTCAAGAAGAAGAATCTGTCGAATGGTATATCCTGTTAAGTCACTTTTGGCTTTGAATAATTCATTAGCATAGGTTTCGAGATTTTTGATTTTTGAGATCGGTTGTAGACGTCTGACAACGTATCGATCATCTTTAGTGGTTGTAGCTGATCTATAAATTAGAAACTGTTTAAAGCATTTAGTAATGGATCCAGTATACATGTATGGTTTTAAGGAAAGCATATAGTTCAATTAGAAAAAATATTTCGAGTCCTTTAACGTTATAAAAAAAACCGAAGTAATAGTACTTCAACACACCAATATCTTTAGAAAAAATAGACTTCTCATTGCATCTATTCCTATTATACGGTAGAGTCGTACGAAAAATATGGCATTGTAGCTCTTTAACAATTTTGCGCTGTATATATCGTCAAACATCCCTTAAACCATCAGAAATACGCATCATGCTATCAATCTTTTCTCCTCATAATTCGTAAAATTGAGTTTTTAAGCAAAATCGAATAGTTCAACTCAGTTCTAAAGAAACAAGAACTAATTTTTTCTCTATTTTTATAGAACTGTATAAGACTGTTGCAAAAATATTTATACCGAAAATAAGAAGAGACGCTTAAAAAAGGTTCTTTTCAGTATCATCTTGAGATTTTAAAAACCGAATACACACGATATACCAAAGGTAAAATTGTCATTATCTTATTTCCATATAGAAAGCTGGAAAATTTTTCTTTTCTACTTAGTGATAGAAAAAATGAGGCTCTGTTTTTTTGCACTATTTGATTAGTGTTAAACTAATGTCATAATAATAAAATTACAATGATCACTGTTTTCTTTTTTATAAAAATGTCATGCGTATACTAACGCTATTTGAAAAAATCTGGCTTGGTTTTCAATGGATGTTTTTAGAAATAAATCTATTTAAGGAGATGCAGAGAGCAAATTTTTGATTTTCAGGCGTGCATTCCGATTATAAATGGCAAACCTAGAAAACTGCATAAGATTGACATATTTGAAATCAATTTTTCAGAATTCATAGATGTCCTAGTGGAAGTTGTAAGTAGTTTTTCTAGTAAATTTTGTGAAAAAGTATGTTTTTTTCTGCTGTTTCCTTTTTAATGCAAATCTCTATCTTTGACATTTAAAAAATTGATTAAATAAACCTCAGAAAACATACTTCATAAACCCATAATATACCATTGAATTCATGTTCATACTCTGTTTCAACTGGTGAAAATTGCAGCTCTTTATCTGGTTCTCATGAAGAGTTATTCTAAAACTACTCATTCGGCATTTCTTTCAAATAACATTGGTACAAGCGTTACATTTTACAGAAAAATAATTCTTATCGTAATTTCATTATTACGATATTAGTTCAATAGTGATCAAATAATACATAAAAATAGAGCGTTGTTGTATCCAGCAGTATGTGAAAAAATAGGAAATTTATGCAGACTTTCCATGTTGAAATACCTGGATCATTCTGAGAGTTTTTAGATTCTTGATTAAATTTAATAGATATATATATGAGTTTGATAATTGCAATAGTAGACCCAAGTTTTAGAAGAAAGTCCACAAAGTTTTAGCTCTAAGACATTTCTCCTTTCGTTTTGTTGAGATGATCACATAGTGAATCATAGGCCAAATTCGGCCTTGTGTGAGATCCATACTGATAGGTTGGAAATAATATTTTGCCAAGGGATATTACTACTATACAAAAATTTCCATAATCCTTATTGTTTAGTACTAATAAATCCTATTTTTAATAGTCCTTTGTTTGGTATAAAATTCGTTATTTACTCTATTTAAAAACATAGCGGTATTATGAACTGATAAAATAACATGTTCATTTTATCGAACAGACTCTAGAGAATTGACTCAATCCTGTTACAAATATAGTTTTTCAATGTTTTTCTTCTGAATACTCTTCTATGACTAATAATGTATCAACTCACTGGATAGCACAGTGGAAAGCCTAATAACTTAGATATGATCGGATTTCATATCGAGCCTATGTCTATACGATGAGAATCAGCATATTGTAATAAATAGATAAGGGTATTTGACACTCATCTAAGAAAAAAGCTAAATAGCCTCTTCCTTTCATTATTCTAAGCTTATTTGTCCTTGAGTTTAGAAATCATTATGTAAGTCCTTTGTTATTGATTAGGCAATATATTTTATAATCACGAGATTATTTTACACATAGTTGAAAGATGATTACTAGTGGAACCTAAGAACTTTTTGACAATGAATACATGAGCAAAAGATATTGACAAATGTATGAATGGTCTAAGGAACGAATACAAACCGAAAAAATAATGTATCACTGATGATAGCGCTTATCATAAGCATCGCTGTTGTTTGGCAGATTTTAACTTTATTCTCAAAATACAATTTAGCCAAAATAGTAGCTGTACATCCAACTGGTTCAAAACGTATGTAGATAGGTACGTCAGTGGTCAAATCGCCAAGTTTATGATGATCAAGAACGCGAGTAACTTTCATTCTTTCAAATTCTTTATTGATTGTTGACCTGAAATAATAGACGGTACTATAAAATACGCATGATACTAGAAATATTTCGACTATGTTGTTCAGCTTGAGAAAATATCAATATTCATCTCATTCTATAGAATGTAGACCATGTACGAAACACTTCAGGCAAAAAAACTTGTCGTGGGATAAAGGAGAAGCTATAGTCATTAGAAATTATTGACAGAAACTGTTTCGCAAGCTTCTTCGATTTATAGTATTCTGAATAAATTACTTGCTATAAAATGGTTCTTTGACTATAATTGTAAACAAACATCTAATTAGTCCATAAAAAGATTCCGAAAGTGGTCAAATAAGGTAGTCAGACGAAATAAAGTTCGTTTTCTAAGAAGACTAAGAAAATCCTTTGTAAAATTCGAGTCTTTTCTAACTCTATTAGTCATTTTGAGACGGAACTGATAGAGTATGAATGGATATGGGTGTAAAGTATGAGTATAGATGTCTCTCTTGCGACACTTTTACCCACACTCACACTGACACGCACACCCAACCGTGGTTTGATGGGCAAAGACTAGTCGTGAGCTTTATTTTTATATTGTTGAAAACGACTTTTTCTTACTTTCATTATGATCAACCAATGCAATTTCAGTGCCATCACTGATATTGGCTGGTAAAAGACTCGGCTGTTTTATTCCAGTCATTTTGAGCACATATTGTGTTTCTCTATTGAGATCACTAAGACGGTATGCTTTAGCATTGATATTCATTGTCTTTAAAAATGAAGCGTATGCAATCGCTGTAGCAACAGCATCTGTATCTGGATTTAAATGGCCGAATACAGCTACTTCGTTTTTATTATTAACTTCGGAGACTATAGGTGCCCCTTGTACATTGAACAGAGTTAGAAATGATGGACCAATAATGGTAATACTTGAAAAATACCACACAAACATAATCATTAGAAATCTGAAACATAAGAATATTTCAATATCACCAACAGTTTCATACTGAGATACTACAAGCCTAAAACAACTTCGACGTAATACAAAAGTTAGCTCGTTTACCAAGAAGCAGAAAAAATAAACAACGTCTGTTTAAAAAGCGAACGACTTTTGTTTTATTTTTTCACAAAAAACAGGAAACAAGCATACACTGAATTTACTCCACGAAGAAAACAACCGTATTTCCGTCTTTTTCCGTTTAGTGATGGATGTCTTCTTCTATAATCTCTCTTTCTCTATTCTTCGTTGTTATATATATAGAGAGAGACAGAGGGAATAAATGTGTTTTACAATCAGAAATATTCTTCGTAGAATTGTATTTGGAAAATTAAACACGTAACCAAAGGGTTACGATGTTATCGTAATCAATTTAAAAATACTTTAAACGTTTTTTGAAAGTGAAACTCCATTGCTTCAAACCGAAGTAACAATACTTTACTTTCAATTAAAATGAATTCAAACTACTTTTAATTGTTTTTCGTCTATTGCAAACAAGTTTAAAGTGATTTTAATATGCTTCTGGAGGTTTTAAATCTGTTAAACCTTCGTTCCGATGAATTATATTCGATTGAATCTATTTTGAGTGAATTTTAATGTATTTCAATTGTTTAAATTCAATAAACGTTGATAGGAATCCCATTTAGACTCATTCGAATGAAGTTTATCAGAATTTAATTATGATGGGAGTAAGTTCGAAATCTCAAATCATTCTATTTGAATAGAAGTCCTTTGAAAAAAGTTTTCATCAATTTAATTTTACTCGAGTCCAATATGAATCAGTTTCATCATAATTTAATTGGAAGATAAAGCAATTCAATCTATTTTTATATCAGATTGAAACTAATTTGAACCCAAATCTAGCTAATTCATAGCGAATATGTATATATGACTTTGAATTACTCCCAATCGTATTTAGTCGATTCACACTCATTTAATACTAACTTCAATCTGATGTAACTTCTTTTTGACACTGTTAAAGATGAACATTGATGAATTGTAAGCGATTCAAATGGTATTTACTCAATTCAACTAAATTTCTACTGTTTAAATTCTAATTCAATCGATGTAACGGTATTTAAACTAATAGAAACGCGAGTGAAATGAATTCACATTATATCCAAGTAGGTTTAAAGTTATTTAAATCACATTCATTTAAATTTCAAGCGACTCTAAGAGGTTTTGTTCAATGTTAGTAGACTTAAGTCAAACTTTGATAAATTCAAACTAGTAAGTACAAATGTAATTGAATTCAACTCTCTCTAGTGTCAATTCAAGTCACGTTGATTCAAGTTCTACAAAGATAACTCAAATACACTGTGAATCTATTTAAATTACTCTGAATCAGTTCTGATCGATTTGGATGGAATCGACAGCATTTCAACCTCAATTAAAATTATGTTCGAAATTCAAAAGACTACGCTTTGAAAAAATATACACTTACTTATTGATTCGATATAAAAGTCAGCGTATTAAACACTGAAATTACGATTTGATGTCGAAGCTGACGTTTTAATGCAAGCAAAGTATAACGGAAAATTGAGAATAAGCGAAGGATAGTGTGCAGAAAGATTGATGACCGCGTTGTTGGATCACGTATTTTAAGTCCTTGCCTTGTTTATTATTTCTTCGAGCTCAATTCCGTTACTTGTTGTATGTGATTTTATTTCTCTCTCAATATTAACACACATTATACATGCCTATATCTATATATCTATATGACTTGTATACCAGCATATATATACCATCCAGCAAAGATGTGTAATCTCGAGTGAGTTGTATCCTTCATACTGCGCAATATCCACTGAGAATATTCTCCACTGTTCTCTTCTCTTCTCTCTCTTTCTCAAAGATTTGTTCTTGCATCGGTTTGATGCGGTAATCTCTCGGAGTGAAAAGAGAACAATGAGCATATATGCAGTGAATAGCGTAGCGATACAAAGTATTGTAAAAGTATTGAACACTATGAATAGTATTACGTGAGGATACGAGATCGGCATCATACAAGGAGGATATGAAGTAAGAGTGAAATAACGTAAGGATGATGTCACATCGGTGTATCCTGTGGCACACAAAGCAATATACAAACAGTATATATATGAAAGAAAATCTCACTTTTAAGTGGAAAGGCCTATATTTCGATCAATAGGGGGTAACATTCAGGTCAAATGTTGCATCTATTTTATACGAGTATTGCAGTCAGTTTGCTTGTTCTGGCTCTCATCGCTCACGTGGATTAAGTGGCAGTGATGAAGAGTTCGTCTAATGTTCGCTAGCATATGCAGTATACTGTACAATCGCCGATGTATATTTTGCGCGTATTGCCCAGAATAATAAAAAAACTTATAATTTCAATCGCTATCAATTCTCTTTCAATAGCACAATTTTTGTCAAACTAAATTTCAAACGACAATTCTCAATCCAAATATGGTGGTACAAACAAGGGTGTGAGTGCGGGTGTGTGTGGAGAACATTAAAACCACACCCACACCCACAGATGAAAAGAACTGCCACGGATGAAAAATGGGGTGAAGAAGTTCAAATTCAAGCCCTTTCTATAGCCCTATGTCAGCCTATTTATTCATATGTCAAATTCGAGAGTAATCCAAAAAATGGACACTATATTCCATCCGATATCAGTCTACAAAAATTGATCGATCGATTCGATAAAGGAACCACAGGTGGTCATCTTAAATATATTGGATATAAATCCGATATGTACAAATTGAGTTTATGTATTTATTCCACAGGAAATCATTATAATGCTCTCTTACCTTTGCTAAATAATCCTCAACAATTTATACCCAAACATGATATCATTAATATGAGTTTATAAAATGCAGGAAGGTTTCATAAACTCATCAAAATAATTAATTAAAATAAACAAGTTTTCATTTATGTAAATAAATAAAGACTCCAGGGCTAACTCCTTGCCGCGCCCCACGGGACAGAAAGAAGGCATCGACAGTGCATAAGGGGCAGTTCCTTACTAGAGGTCAATAAATGAAAATAAATTTTTTTACGATACTTGAATAAGAAAAAGAGAAAAAAGTGTTAACCGAAGTGAAATAATCTCATTCCATTGTGGTAAAAGTGCAGTTGTAAGTAAATGATCAGGAATTTCTCTTAAATATTGTTTAAGTATACTTGCAGAGACATGTGGATCATAATTAAGTTCATTTAATGTTGTTTCCCTATCAATTGTTTGTAAATTAAGTTCAGCAACAATGTTTTTCTGTTTTCCGTGTCATGGTGCAATACGAAACTGATCTTCTTCATTTAAACTATTTTCTAATAGATGAATACATATTTCAATTGGATAAGCAATTAATGTATCTTTTCTTTTTAAACAATGTTTTATAAGATCATAACCAAATAATGGAATTAAATCATCATTTTCTAATCTTTGTCCAATTTCAGGCATTTTTGATGATAAATATCGAGATATATTATTATAAAATTGATTTTCTTCGTATAAATATTGATAAAAAAAGTTTAATTGTAATTGAATGTTCTTCACTAGCTATTTTATATGTTTCAGTTGCATATATATCACGTGATAATGTTCGAAATTGTTCACATTCACAACGAATATCTTCTAATTCACGTAAACGTTCATCAAAACTTGCTAATGTTAAACGATCAGATCGTGTTTGAAATGTTAACAAAACAATTAGAACATTTTTTATTTTAAATAATAAAAACAGAAACTTTTTTAAATTGGCATCAGCTGTTTCCAATTTTCGTTGAGCTTTTTCATAATTATTTCTTACTTCAGTCATTGTTTGACGAACAGTTGACTTATATTAAAAATAAATCAGTAAATAAGCAAATACTTGTTTATCTCTAGCTTGTTCAATAATTTTTTAAAATTGTTCCAGCCATTCTTTTCTTTTTGAACCAATAAAATCATGTATTTGAATTAAATCATCAATTGTTTGATGTAAATCGATAAAGCACCATTTGTTCTATATGGAGAACGATAACAACGTGCAACATCACTCAAACGAAATTCTTTTAATGATTTTGATACATCATTATCAATACTTTTATTTAATTAAACATTTGTTTTATCTTTTTTTTGTTTTTTTAATTTAATTATTTAACTTACAAAATCTTTATCTATTTTCCAAAGATCAAACAATACTTTACAAGAATCTGGAATATAACGAACTCGATTGTAACAATCAGGTACATCATCACTTCTATATTAATAAATATAAAGAAATAAAATATTTTCATTTTTTATTTTCGAATTTCTTTGTTTAACCATATCGATAAATATCCTATTCAAATAAATTTATTTCCTAAGAGATTTTTAATCGATAATTCGAACTATTTTATCATTATTTCGTCTTATAGAATGTTTCTATCTAGCAGTTAAAAGAAGATTTTCGACAAAACACGTTCAACTCGGATGAAATATTAATCATTTGTTAGCAATCGTTCAGTAGAGAGAAATAAATTGTGTCAAAATTGTTTAGATCAATAATGTTTCTAGGATAGATTATTAAAATAATGAATAATTTTCGTTGTCAATCTTTATATATAATAAATAACGAATTTTTGACCAAATGCAAGTAGATAGTTAACTATTTAAATTAGCTTTGAAAAAATAACAATAAAGATTTAATATGAAAGTTCGATTTTTTTAATTCTACGAATATGAAAACTATTCTTTAAATCTATTTTAATAATATAGAACGTTTTGTTAAATTTGAAAAATTCTTTTTAACAATTTGAATACTCTTCAAAACAAATGATATTCTATTGCTAAATAAAGATTTTTTTAATGAAAAAACATCTTAACTCGACAATAATAACATAAAATAATTTCATTATAAAACTATAGAAAAATTTTTAACAAAAAAAACACTAGCAAACGGTTAAGTCAATTAAATTAAAATAAATAAATTGAATAAAATCTTATTTCTATCAATATTAGTGTAACCATTGAAATGATTTATTATATTAATATAAGATTTCATTTATTTATTTAAGA